TTCATAAATGAAAAGATAGAAAGAGGAATCACATCACTTCATCGTCACCAAATTGGTGAGACGCTCTCATCAAACCTTTTCTTCCAATAAATTTTGAAGAATTGTGTTCATGTTTATAATGATAAAAATCTTTCGTCTAGCATGAGCGATTCCAATAAGGGAGCACCAGGATTAAGAAATTTATGAGTTTGAATTGATGTTTTTAGGATGTATGTCCCATAGATCAATGTTAATTTCTATTTACTTGTTTCCTATTATAGATAATTAGTTGAGATATAACAAGAATAAAGGAATTTTACTCAAATCTATTAATAATATATTAGTTCTATCTGGAGCAATAAATGGGAAAAGACTTCTCACTGCATATTTCTTTAACTCTCTTGACCACTCCCTCCTCTCCCTCTCCCTCTCCCTCTCCCTCTCCCTCCTTAATTTTCTCACTACTACCCAAGAAGGCCACAAGGGAGTAAATCCCTTCCCTCAGTTATTTAGAAGTAAAAGTTCTAAAGTTTTCTCATATTATGTTTGTTAGTTCTCAATTTATCAATGAATTTTTCATCACAGAAGAACCAAAAAGACTGTCATGTGATTGAGCTGTAATATGCATTGTAAAAAACTCCATGCATTGATCAAAACTTCATTAATGAAAAGATAAAAACTGGAACCATATCACTTCATCATGACCAAATTGGCAATCTCATCAAACCTTTTCTTCAACTAAATTTTGAAAAATTAAGTTCATGTTTATAATGGTAAAAATATTACATCTAGCATGAGGGATGTCAACAAGGGAGGGCCAGGATTAAGAAATTTATGAGTTTGCATTGAAATTTTTTGGTTGCATGTCCCCTAGATCCATGTTATTTTCTATTTACTTGTTTCCTATTATAGATAATTAATTGAGATATAATAAGCATAATGGAATTTTCCTCGCATCAATTAATAATATATTACCTCTATCTGGAGCAATCAATGGAAAAAGACTTCTCGCTGCATATTTTTTTACCTCTCTTAGGGCTCTGTTGAGGGTGCGGCTATCCTCCGATGCGGTTCGAACAAAGCAGAGGAACGAAACTTTTGGTATTTAAATAACAGCCCTCCCTCCAATAGACATTCCTATAGGTGTTTTATAAGCTGTCATGTAAGCCAATAATGAGGTATATCTAATCTAACAAACCAATCCAGTTTATTAAGATTTATTGTTTCTTCCCAAATTATGGGATAATAGGTCTCGCCTATAGAATGTATGGCTGTCAACACTTACAATACTCGAAAGCTATCTTCATTTTGGAACTTCTAAAAAAAATTGAGAGATTCTCTAGGATTATACCTTATATTCTACAAAAATATTGAGAGTGGCTTCTAGGCACATGGGAATTCATGAACATCTTTTAATACTCGGAAGAGGTAGGAGAACTGGTAGAGGCAATTCTTTGAAGGTAGTTAAAAATAGGGGTGTCACTTCAAGGTTTTATTAATGTTAAGTAGGAATTTGGTTGACTTGAAATAGGCTAGGTGGTTGGATGAATTTGTACTTCCTCTATATGATTTGAGATGGGGATCATAAACTGCCTTTTGTGGCTTTATTTTTGTGACCTCCTTATAAATCACGGTTGTCTATCATGACCTCAACCTTTAAACTCACCTAGTTATGGGAATGTAATATCCTTCATTCTTGGGATAATAGTTCTCACCTATAGAAGGTGCGGCAGTCAACACTTAAAAAGTACCTGCAATTTATTGTCATATAATGGAGATGGAAGATCCTTTCGGTATTTCTGGTCTCAAATTTTTAGAAGGTAGATTTGATTGCAGATAAGTCATTGCCCAGAGATTTCACTCTCAATTTGCTAGAAGTTTAAGAGCTAAGATTTGAGGTTTTCTATAAGTGCAAACTTCTATGTTTAATTATCCCTATTGATATGGGAGATCATTTCCGATTAAGGCTAGTTATTAAGTAGTGAATATTTAGTGTATAGTAGTAACAAATAGAGTGTACATTTAAAGATTAATAAAATTTATCATCGTGAACTTTAGAGTGGTTGGCGAGGAGAATTATGATGAACCCAGCCAAAAGTACATGATTGTGTCTTGGGAATTTAGATAACAGCCCTCCCTCCAATTGGCATCCAACGAAAAGCCTTCAGTGGCAAAAATTCGAACAAGGTGCCTTCAAAGTTGTCGGCCCGACGTTCAGCGATAGGTAAGATAAAAATCCAATTTATCCTCTGATTAACCGACAGTGACTCCATGGTGAGACACAAGTGCATCAACGCTAGTGACCCTGACCTCTTTGCCTTGTGTGAGATTGGCAGCGAGCTGGGTGATCGATACCGAAAGAGGGAATTGTTGCCAGTGATTTCTTACATTGTTCTTTAATCTTTGAGATGAAAAGTGACTTCATTGCCCCCTTGATTGAGGAATGAGATGCAAGAGACTGGTTTGCTTTTGTCTTTCTCGGTCTCTTGGGGCAAGAAGGGGCGAACTCAGAGAAGAACTTTGTGTGACATGGGAGGCGCGGCGACGGAGTAAAATAGTATTTTTATTTTTCAACGCTCGTTAAAAAAAAACAAACAAACTCAGAGAAAAGCTTTAAAACGCCGCTTTTTAAAAAAATGCTTTAAAATGGAATTCGTACAATGGTAAAGCGTTCGCAAACGAGGCCTTAACCTCTCCCTCTCCCCCTTGATTTTCTCACTACTACCCAAGAAGGCCACAAGGGAGTCTAAATAAAGTTTTTCAGCAAGGGATCAAAGAAGATATAAAAATTGAGGATAAATATTGAAACAAAAGTAGCAAAAAAGAAAAGATTATGAAGCCATTAAAAAATAATAGCTAGGATTAGCACTCCTATAAGTTCCATTCAAATTTGCTACTTTCATCACTCTCATATCCTACGCACCATTTTCTATTTACCTCTCTTTATACCAACATAAATCCATGTCAAATAAATAGCCAAGACTCATAGCATGGCCTACTTGATAGCAAATGTCCAATATTCTTACGAAATTTACGAACTTCTTTAAATCTATAAAACCATTCAAAGATTTAAGTGATGACATGGATACAAATTAGTCAGGTACAAAGTATCCACCTTCTAACTAGCAAACATAAACACATTGTTAAAGAAAGATGACACTTTTGGAAAGTGTCAAGAATAGTAGATACTACGAGGGGATATGAAGAAAAGAAGAGCTCATATAGGAAATGAGGACGGAGCTTTCATAACATGAAGCTTCAATAATTGATAGAAATCTCTTCATCTTTCGTATTACAAGATGACTTTTATTAATAAAGGAAGGAAGCAAAGATCAAATCATAACCTGAGTATGTTCTTACAAATTCTTAATGTATCCCAAATAACATGAAGAAAAGCATAATTGCGACAAAATTAGGCATACATTAGCACAAAATAAAAATGACAGCATCTACTAAGAAGGAACCTAAAGCTTTTTGGATATTTGTGTCTACAAGAATAATAAGTATCTTCTCCCCAAGTTGGAGAGTGAAGGTTGATGTAGTTAGCCAAGAGGGTGGCGGCGCACCGTAGATCCTCAAGAAACATTTTATAGTCGTCCATGAAGGATGATCTTGCAAATGAATTAAAAACACAAATATATAGTTGATTTTACCGAGAAGGATTTGTCACATAATGCTAGCAGAGTCACTCGACTTGCGAGAACTACCACATAATACAAGAGACTGGATGGTGATTATAACTGGTAAAAAATCTTCAATGATGAATAAAGCCCATATTAATCTCACGACGTATTTCAATTACATCAGCACTAGAGCCTAATTTCCTTAGGGTTTTGTAAAGGACAAATAACAAATGAAGAGCTGTTTGAGGGCATGAAGAAAGTGTTATTGATGAATCTACACAAGGTCAACTTCATTGAAGTTCTAGCAACTTCGAATAGATCTACTAACACAAAACATGTTAGTTTACATTAGAATACAGGATCTAATATCCATATTTAAAAAAAACTTTAAAATTTCAAAGAAATTGTAACTAAAATGGATAAAATAAGTGGGGAGAGTAGTGCAGCAGATGGATGAGGCACTAGCCAATGCAGGGTTGAAGGGTAGATTTATGCACACAGGCTTGCCCCTACATATGCAAGAGGTTATTTGCATGACTCAAACTTGAGACTTTCGAAATAAAACAAAAACAGCTTAGCCACTGCAGTGGGCCTAACTACAACTAGTAAGAATAAAATAAGAAATGATTATATTAAAGGGGAAAAAAGATTATCGAATAATAATGTGACTAAAAATACACATTGGAGATTCGAGCACATACAATGAAGAGTTGAAGATGCACTAAAAGAAAAATACGCAATTAATTTTTTGACGATTAGGAAATAAAGAATTGGAAAATCCAAATTAACTTGGTTGAAAGCTATTCAAAAGAACATGAATAAGTTTGACGCCACATGCAACACATCGCAACAGAAAATGGAAATGAGGAACTCCAACCCTGAAAGCAAACTAAACCAATATTTTCAAAATTACATTTATCAAGAAGCAAGTAACACAACTGCACGAAGCTCTAATGTGCGCAACCCTACACCAACATTTGCAAAGAAGTTGTTTCTACAGCACCTCCATAATAACCAAAAATAAAAGTAAAAACGAGTTCCTTCATAAACCCAAAGCCGACCACGTCTAACAAATTCAAAGCAATGAGCCACAAAAACATACATCCATGCTCACTAAACCCAATTCAACTAATTTTCATGATTAAAATCTCCGCCTAAAACAAGATAATTATGCCAGACGGCGAATATTACCACATCATCAATATTTAAACCTAAATCCCTCTAAAACCGAAGCCTCATTCCTAATTAAGCAACAATCACAAAAACAGAAAGAAAACAGAAAGAACATTCACTGACAAGTTTCATCCAACCGCAAGCTCTATATTGCTTTCGTATCAACCGAAAACAAAAACAAAAGACAGATCGCAAAGTACAGCAAAGAATCGTGAGATATTTTACCTGCCCCTTAACCTTCAGATTTATGTGCGCTCCGCCCTGATCAGGCTTCCTTTCTTCCTCCTGGTTCGCTCCTGACATTCCGATATCTTCCGAGGTTGTGAGAGGTATAGATAGTACGAGAAGGATGCTAATCGGGGAAGATGCTCGACCTACTCTTTTATGGACAGGGGAAATTCAAATTTAGTTAATGAACCTTTCGAGTCCGTCAATTGACTGCCAAATTAACGCGGCTATGATTCCCTCGGCCGCCGCAGCCCGCAGTTCCTATAAAAAGCAGCCCTAGAGGAACGCGAGGTGTCAAAGGGAATAACTTTCCTCTAATTTTGAGGAACTTAAATAGCCATCACACAATTTATATGTATTTACATAGCTAATATCTAAGCATCCATATTAAAAATAGAATACACATTTAGCACATAGTCTTGTATAGTTCGAGAATCCATACAATTATAAAAAGAGCTTGTGAGATGAAGGATATAGGTGGAAAAGGATAAGAGTTTGGGTTATATATGTCACTTTTGATTAGATCTGGGTGTTGGGCTGGTCGGGTTTGGCATGAATTGGGTTTAATCGGGCTTTGAATAGTCAGAGCGGGTTCAGGACAGGCTTGAGGCTGCTTTCTATTGGAAAATATAACCAAACTCACTCACAATAAATGTCGGGTCGGGCTGAGCTGCCCCACAGGCTTTAAAAAGAAAATTTTATTTTATTTTTCTTCTTCTTGGGCACATTACATAATTTTGAGAAGTTTGTTCAACGTAAATTCAATATTAAAAACTAACAATTTATTTTCTTCTTCCTCTTCAAATGTAGATAAATTAACAAATTAAAAAATCCATATGCATGTCTATCTAAAATTCAAAGCAGAATTCTTAGAATTATCTATTTTTCTGTAGCCCCTGTGCTTCAGGCGTGGAGCTACATAATGCAATAAAATCTTAAACAAATTCTAACATACCACGTAATTCTCATGCATTTACATAGCTAACACCCAAACTTTCATGTTTACATACATAACGCTGAAATATTTAACATTGCATAAAAAAAAACGTCATTATCAGTTAGTTTCTAAAAGCTGAACGTGCATCAACTTTATCGTTCCATCTCATTCATTCAAGCTCTAAAGGCAGACAACAATCTATTCCCAACTCTGTTGTAGTCCTTTTTTCACCTTCATCCACGACATTGGGGTGCTTTTAAACTGCATAAATATAAAATAAAAAAAGAGAAGAAACAAACTTCATATAATATTGATGAGAGGCATTTGCATTCATACCACACAATTCTTATATATTTACATATGTAACTCATAAACTTTCATATTTACATAATAACGCTCAAGTCTTCGACATCACATAAAGAAAAACCACTATCATTAATTTTGTACAAGTGAAATATATCATTTCATTCATAAATTTTTAATACCAAAGTGTTATAAAGGTAAGTATCATACCTTAGGTTTTAGACATGTAAATGCATAATATCTGTGTGAGAATGAATGCAAATTTCCCTAATTAAAAACATATAACACATACCACCATTGGCTCATTCCAGTCATGCAGCACAATCTTTGCATGATCAATGAGCTTAAGTATTTGCTTTAGCATAGCTTTGGTGCCGAGAAAAAAGTCACACAAATCCTCTGCGGTTTGTGAAGAAGAAGAACAATATGGTGCCCGGCTATTGTCGCTTGAGCACATGGCTTTGGTGCAAAAAGAAAGCACAAATTTGTGATATTTGGACAAACTCATAAGAAAATTATGGAATCGTATCAAGTAGCAGGAGAAGATTTGAGATGAATTGTTGCAGTTGGATGTTGAGTTGTTTTGATCGTGAGAATAAAAAATAAAAGGAAAAAACTATAATAGTAAGGGCTTTAAATGATATGGGTTTGGTTCAAAAAGTCAATAAAAAACAGTGCTTTAAAACTCACCTTAAATTAACCTTAATAAAAAAACAGTGCTTTAAAACTCGCCTACATATTAATTCTCATGCAATTTCACAAATAATCACCACATATTTCTATGCAAAATACACCTACATAGAAATAAAAAATAAATATCCCGTGATAGTAATATTAATCCAATAATAAGAGTCAAAAAAAAAAAATTATTGCACCAACAAAAGATGTCACACCACTTATAAATAATCATCCACGAAATTGCATGTCTTTAAACTTCACGTGCATAGAAATAGAAACTTATTACAAAGTGATAAAATTAAATGGAAAAAAACTATTTATCTCATGTACTAACAAAATATTACAAATACATGCATTACGAATTTCAATTTCAATTTTCTCATCACTGTTGTAATCTTCATCATCAATATTTTGTCCTGATTGACTTTTCAACACATGCATATAATTTTTAGTCAAATGTTTTTGTCAAAGTTATATCATAACTTTACATAAAAAATAAATAGCTAATGAGTAAATACATGTAGAAAACCCTTTAGCACATAACCATTCTTCATAACTTGCCAATGTTTGAATTGTATTTGAGTTTAGAGAGCACATGTCAGATTAATTATTTTTTTGCCCATACTGAAGGTTGACTCAAAGGCTACAGCTGATACATAGAGTGATAAAACATATATAGCCATGGATGTCATTTCAGGTAATCTAGATACAGTTTTGCTCCAGTAGTTTAAAATATCAAGATCTAAATCTCTATATAACGTTGACTCTGTCAGATAAAGATCAAGCTGTGACTTACTTGTGTTGTTCCTTGACTTTCTCTTCAAGTATTCTTTAAATGCATTTTGGTTACAGTTAGAACGATGTAAAATTGGTTGGATCCTCCATGCATATCAATAGATGTTAAATCATGTTCATGTTGGTTATTCATATAATGCTCAATCAAATTATAAATCAAATCCTTTATTAACTTGAAAATATTCATCATCTCCATAAAGACTTAAATAATAAAACTCTAAGTAATCAAACTTATATCTTGGATCCAAAACAGCAGCACACGAAAGTAATAAATTATATTACAACAACTACTTGTCAAATTTATTTTGCATTCCTACAACCATATGTGTCAAGAAATGTTAATGACATGCAAGATACTTAACAGATTCATTTGAATTTTCCAAACACCGCAAAAATAAATACTTTTGTGAGAGTTTTGCTAGTTGAGAATAAGCATGTGACCTCATAAAGGACTTTTAGAAAAGTATGTAAGCACTACAACTTTTTTCATTCTATGTCTGTAAGCTTTAAAAATTCAAAATTCTCTTCATGTTGTTCCCAAAAGCAAAGAACTTCCTTGTAATATAATACATTATCAATCATAATATATATGTTATTCCATCTCATGCACATATAAATTTGAAGTTTTTTCTTCACATTTAATGAAATGTTGTGCTTGCAATATCATAGATTTTTTTGAACTTTGGGGTAAACTCATTAAAATTTTTGAACCCACATTTAATCTTTCTAATAACATCTTCAATCAATCTCAAACTTGTTTGCACTATGAGATTCAAAATATGACAACAACATCAAATTTGAAAAAAAAAAAAAAACCATCACATACTAGTCCTTTCTTTGCATTCAAGCGCATTTTGAGGACAATAACGACAAAATCATTATATGAAACATTATCAAGAGTAAGACACAAAATTTTATCATCAATCTTCCACTCGGCTAAAGAAAATGCAATCTCTTCAAAAATTATTGGCACATTAAATGGTGGTGTTGAAGCTCGGAACACTATTATTCTTTTATATAGCTTCTATCTCTTAGCAATTCCATGTGCAGTTATACAAATGAACTCATCTTTTGTTGACTCATTATGTCAATTATTAGATTTCAAACAAATACGACTACTACTCTTCAATAACTCATCCAACACATACTCTTATTCTTATTCATGAAGCAACATAATATCTCTTTTTAAAGTACGTCTGATAGTAGCTTTGAATTGTGGGCATGCAATGGTCATCATATATCTAAATGGTGACCATTCAACAAAAAAAAAATGAAAGTTTGCCACTGACAAGAAGCATTAATAAAGCTCTATGCAATTCTTCCATATCATATTTTACATTTCTCATTGACGAAGAGCCTTTAAAATTTGTTTGACACCTAATCATGCATTGGTTTATGCTATGATTCTTTTTAGATGGACAAACACTTACATGACAACGTAAATGTGATGTTCCACTTTTTATTTGTGCACTTAATATTTTACTACAGTGTTTGCACTTTGCTTTTGCTGTGTCTTTCAAATCATATTTTAACAATATCATTTCATCCCACACCTTCGAATGTATTCTTGTTTTTTTTCACTAATAATTCTCCAGTATTTCTTTTTAATTATTTACATTCCAATTCATCTTGTAATTTACCAGAGCTTTTCATTTCAAAAAATAACAAATTTAACATGAAATAAGAAAAATTTATATGACACATAGCACAAAATTATCACGTGATAGAGATTCATAGGATTTGAAAATCATAATCCCATGCATCATCCTGAAGGCACAAGTAACCACACATGTAATTATAGGAATGAAATATGTAAAATATAGTTCCAATCAAATAGAATAAATTGTGCTCTGACCACAAATAACCATATCAATATATGTTGTTTTAACATGAAGCATTCAAAATAGAGATATACATACCATCAAATTCTTATTTCTCTATATATCTGAAAAATAAATTGTGAAATAGGGTTATATTCACCACAACTAACCAAATCAAATATTCTTGCCTTTGCCACTATTTTAAATATTTAACAAGGTACAATACACCTTTTAAATCTTCATGCATATGTAAGGATGCATATATGTGAAAAACTCAAGCTTAAGTGTTAGATATGTGAATAGATGAGAACTGAGTGGAATGCATGTAAATCTTCCTTAAAAAAAACCTGCTTAACTTGAGTGATAGAATTTAGGTTATGTTTGTCACACTAGATGGCGATGATCTCGTCTCTCTCTTTTTCTTTTTCCCCTATTTCTATATCTCATCTAGTTTCATTGCCCTCTTAGAGTTGCAAACAAATAAATAAATAAATAAATAAAAATAAACTAAAAAAAATAAAGAAATTTTACATTATATGTTGTACTGTATGGAGCCTATTGAATTTGTTGCTAAAAATATATCACCATGGATATCGTCAGCTCATAAATGGGAATGGAAAGTAATGGGTAAGAGTCTCCATCATTATGTCATACAGACGACCTTAAAAGATCAATAAATGTTCTTGATTAGGAAGCTTGAGAAGTGCATGCAAGCTTAACAAATAGGCTAGATGAATATTGATCCCGATATTTTTTATATGTAAGGATTTAAGAAGTT